GCGTAAGGCTCAGCAAACGCATGTTATTTCCCTAAGCGCACAGGAGGGCTCCGGAAGGGCACAAAGTGTGAAGAGCGGCTGCCTCCCAAAGGGAACCTGGCAGGTGACAACGCCATCTAGGAAGAGGGGCTGGCCACCGTCCACCGAGCGCTTGAACGGTCGCGCGTTGCACCCAGTAGCTGTTCCGAAATAGAAACAGAAGCCACTGGTACAGAAACTGGAAACCAGGAAGTGAGGCCCAGCAGGCGGCCTCCACCGCCCGACGCCCACCAATCACGGACCCTACCCTCGTCACTCGCGGGCGCCCTCACCGCGCAGGCCGGCGCAGCACGACGCGTCCCGGCAGCAGAAGAGGAAGAGGCCGCGGTGGAAGGCGTCGGGGCGCCCCGGCAGCGGCGCATACAGCTGCAGGAGGAAGGCGGGTGGGTGGCCGCAGCGCGGGCAGGACAGCGCCGCGGGCCCGGGCAGCCCCGCCTCGCCCAGCCACGCCGGCCGCCCTCCCACCTTGCTGGGAAAGAACGCGTTGCGCAGGCGCCATGCCGGCGCCTCCTCCGCGAAGCCTAGCTCCACGAGCGAGGCCATAGGGCCGGCGGACGCCGACACGTGGGGTCTTAGGCGCAGAACAGGTCGACGACCTCGGACTCGGTCCACCGCCGAGCCCGGGGCGCCCAGCCCGGAAAACGGAAATAGAGATGATAGCGGACGGGAAAATGATTGGAAGCTGGGGGTGAGGAGGCGGGACAACGGAAGCACGCCAGCGGGCGCCCGCCCCTCGCGCTCCGAGTTCCGGGCGTACGCTCGGGACGGAGCGCGGGCGCAGTCGGGACATGGAGAGGGAGGTACGTCACATACTGGGAGGAGCAACCCGAAAGCACGTGAACACGCGACACTACTGGGAAAATGGGCTCTTGAGAGCATGGTGGCCTTCCTGCCATAAAGACGCCGAACGACAGTACGTGCGTCCTTACTCGAGGCTGTGGGGACTGCTAAGAGTGTATGGTTAACCCTACTGGACGGAGTGGGAGCTGTAGTACCGTAGTGCCTAAGGCACTTGACTGCTAACCAGAAGGATGGCGGTTCAAACCCACCAGCCACTCCTCGGATGGAAGATGGGGCAATCTACATCGGTAGTGATACTGTCTCAGAAACCCAAGGAGGGGTCGCTATGAGTTGGGTCCAACTCGAGGGCACATAACAACAACAGCAACACGATGGAGTGGTCCGAGGGCCGCCTGGTACCTGGCAGTGTTCAACAAGGGGGAATGCCTTGTAAGAGCTTAGTTTAAAATAAGAAGGGCTCAGGTTGTCGTGTATAAACTCATTTAGTTTATTGTAAGGTAGTTATGACAAGGCACACGAGTGAGACCTCTCAAAATTCTTTTAGAACCGGAGGATCAGAATGGATCACAGTCAGTGTGTTTCAGAGGCTACAGCCCGTCTTCAGACATGGAGTGTTCACCTTTTCCAGTGGTCCCGGACGTCCTCAGTGGGGTCTGAGGACTGTGGCAGTGGGCAGAGTCCCAGCCTGCGTTCGGGTAGGGTCTTCTCTTTGCAGAGTGTCAGAGTTGAGAGGTGACTGCCTTTTGTTAACAGATAAGTGGATATCCAGTGCTTGTAGATGCTATTGCCATGGGAGAAGTATGGTTCTTAGCTACCTACTGTGAGGAAGGCCAATTAACGACAGGAGGAGGTGGAAAGCAAGTGTTATTGAGTATCGGTTCCCAAGGAGACAGGACACTGTGCCCACCAAAGACTCTAGCCATTCTGCCCCCACTTTTTCACAATAAGTTTGAGTTCTCTCTATGCCCCGCTTCACCAACTAATGACATTCTGTCTGAAGTTGATAATAACACAGTTTCATTTTCCTAAACCTGATGTAGTACCTAAGGCATTTGACTGTTAACCAGAAGGCTGGTGGTTCAAACCCACCAGGCCCTGCTTGGAAGGAAGGTTGGGTAATCTACTTCCGTAGATATATTGCCTCAGAAACCCAAGAAAGGGTCGTTATGAGTCGGATTCGACTCAATGGCAGTGAATGCTTTTAAAGCTGACAAGGATGGAGTGATGTTTTCCCCTCACATTAGAAGACCTCAGTTCTGTGTGAAATTGCGTAACTTAGTGGTAACAGTCTTAGAGCCAGAGTCATGAACTTGCACTAAAATTCTGCCACTTTGGGAAAATTATTTCACCTCTTTAAACATTGTTTCCTGTTCTGCAGAAATTGGACTGCTGGCTTAGCTTCACGCCTTTGTTGTGTCCTCCAGTTGACTCTGCCTCAGCACCCAACAGGACAGAGTGGAAGTGCCCCATAGCGTTTCCTAGGCTATCAATCCTTATGGAAGAAAAGCCCAAATCAAACTCAGTACGCTGGAGTTGATTCCTTCTCACAGTACCCCTAGAGGACAGACTAGAACTTCCCCACAGGCTGTAATCTTCATGGCATTCAACCGTGTAGATCATAACAAATTATGGACAACATTGTGAAGAATGGGAATTCCAGAACACTTGATTGTGATCATATGGAACCTGTATATAAACCAAGAGGCAGTCATTCAAACAGAACAGTGGGACACTGCATTGCTTAAAATCAGGAAGGGTGTGCATCAGCGTTGTATCCTTTCGCCATACTTACACAATTTGTATGCTGAACAAATAGTCCAAGAAGCTGGACTGTATGAGGAAGAACACAGCATCAGGATTGGAGGAAGACTTCGTTAACAGCCTGCGATGTGGAAATGACACAACCTTGCTTGCGAAAGTAAAGAGGATTAGAAGCACTTACTGATGAAGATTAAAGAATATAGCCTTTAGTATGGATTGTGCTTCAATGTAAAGAAAACAAAAATCTTCAAAGCTGGGCCAATAAGCAACATCACAAATGAAGAAAAGATTGAAGTTGTCAGGGATAATTAACACCCATGAAAGCAACAGTCAGGAAATCAAAGTATTGCATTGGGCACATCTGCTGCAAAAGACCTCTTTCAAGTGTTAAAAAGCAAAGATGTTGCCTTGAGGACTCAGGTATGCCTGATGTAAGCCATGATATTTTCATCCACCTCGTATGAATGTCAAAGCTGGAAAATGAATAAGGAAGAATGAAGAAGAATTGATGCATTTGAATTATGGTGTTGGTGAAGAATACTGAGTGGACCATGGACTGTCAAAAGAATGAGCAGATCTGCTTTTGATAAAGTACAGCCAGAATGTGCCTTAGAAGCGAGGATGAGTTTTGTTGAACATTTTGGTCATGTTATCAGAACGGACCAGTCAGAAGGACATAGTGCTTAGTGAAGTGCAGGGTTGGTGAAAGGGGGAGATCTCAGTGCGAGAGGTGGGCACAGCGGCTGCAACAAGGGGCTCAAGCGTGGCAACAGTTGTGAGGCTGGCTCAGGACCCGGCGGTGTTTCATTCTGTTGTACGCGGGGCCGCCAGGAGTCAGCGCTGACGTGCCAGCACCAAAGAACTGCAGTGTGCATGTAGTCTCATACAGGTGAGGCTGGCTCAGGACCCGGCGGTGTTCCGTTCTGTTGTATAGAGTAGCTGGGAGTCAGAGCTGACGTGCCAGCACCTAACTACTACAACAGCATGGCTATGTAGTTCATATGTTTTCCTGCTCAAAATATTTTCTTGATGTTTAACTTTGGATGCCTTCTATGAGGCTGGAGATTGACAAGGTCACGAGGAGGAGGAGAGCAGTGGGCGGAGTTCTAACTGAACCAGAGGCTGGTGTTCATTGGCTTCTCTGCTCAAAGCAAGTCAGTGGCAGGACGACCCCAAGCTCCACATGTAAGATGGTCCCCAAGGAGCCATGTTTTTATTGTTTAGGATTTACTTATTTATTTTTAAATAACACTTTATGTGTTGTGGTGATTCCTTAACTGTTTGTACTAAATGCTCTTGGAAACTTCAGCCTGCAGCTAAATCTACCGCTTCTTTGGAAGGAAGGGCTTGGCCAGTGGGTGGCAGTGTTTGCTTGTCTGCCCCTTCAGCGGCTCTTTGAAGCCCATTTTAAAACAGCAGTGACCACTTCCTGCTACATCTTTTTAGAGTCAAAATATCTGAGAATTGTGTTTTCAAATGTGGTCCTCCAGTCATCATTAGAAGTAGCTCTGTCCTCTGAAAATCAAAGGAAAAGTGGCGTTCCAATGAGACAAACTTGGTGGCTCGTCTACCCGGGTTCCTTCCAGCCCTTTTTCAGACGTTCTAAGAAGTGTTGTGCTGAGCAAAGCAGGTCTTGGGACCCCCTGCTTGGCCAAACTCTCCGTACCTCTGCGGCTGGGCCCCCCTCCACACTCCTCCTGAGACTCCCACAGTTTCTCAGGATCCCACTCACCTGAGCCCCCACATCACTGACGGCCCAGGCACTGAGCCGACTCTCAGTGCCTCTGTCGTGTCCTCAGTTCCATGTCATGTGTGTTCACTTGCTTCCCCAAAGCCTCCTGTGAACTCTCTGAGCCCCAGGAGTGATCTGTATGTTTCTGTGAACCCACATACTCACTACCATTGTACACTGTTAGTATATTGTAGACGGTTCCCGTTGTTGTTGTTAGGTGCCACCAAGCGGCTGACTCAGAGCTACCCCATGTACCACAGAAGGACACCCTGCCCAGTCTGGCACCACCCCCACAGTGGCTGCCATGCTTGGGCCCAATGTTGCAGCCCCTGTGACAATCATTCTCCTTGAGGGTCTTCTTTTTTGCTGACCTTCCACTGTACCCAGCATAACATCCTTCTCCAGGGACTGGTCCCTCCTGATAAATGTCCAAGGGAAGTGAGGCAGACACTCCACCCTCGTGTCTAAGGGGCATTCTGGCAGGGAGCTGGGGGAGCTGTGGTGAAGTGCCCCACTGCTGAAGGATACACTATGGTTTCTCTGAGGAAGAAAGATTTGGTGATCTCCTCCCAAGAAGATAACACATGTGGTCGCTGTAATTCAGAATTGACTCAACAGCACCCAGGAACCATAAACAAAGACACAGAAGCAACCCATTATCAGCGGCTGAGGACCACCCATGCTGGGTGTGTCGTAAGAGAACTGAAGGACCGGTTACTCTTCTCAGGAACTTATATTTAGAAGCAAAAGCCCAATTCAATGTGTACATGTATTCAACATCAAAAACATTTCAAGATATATCCCGAAGTACACCACTGTCAGTGACAGGATAATATCCACATGCCTGCGAGAAGGCCAGTGACTACAACTGTCACTCAAATTTCCCACTAATTACTAATGCCAAGGATGGCGATCGTGGAGATTGTTGCCAACTTCTGCGTTCTGAAATTGACCAGACAGGCACTCAAGATACATTGATGATTACTGATGATTGGAATGTGAAAGTTGGACGTGAAGGAGGATCAGTGGTTGGAAAATATGGACTTGGTGATAGAAAATACACTGGAGATAGCATGATAGAATTTTGTAAGACCAATGACTTCTTCATAGAAAATACCTTTTTTTTTTCCAACAAAATAAATGGTGGCTACACAAATGGACCTTGCCAGATGAAATACACAGGAATAAGATCCACTAGACATGTGGAGGAGCTCTGGTAGCACAGTGGCTAAGGCACCTAACTTCTAAT